TCAATCATTGTACCAAATTCATATTTTTTTGAAATTTTGAAACTTGAGTTTTGATTCATTGTTTTGTACAACACTATATTATTCTTCAGTTGCATTAGTCATCGGTATGAATTAATATACAGGTTTGAATTAATATACAGGTATGGACCATAGGCTCCCGCACAATCTTGTTTACCAGTTTCTATGTTCTGGCAGTGACCTCGCTGAGTTTCCGCAGATATACGCGTAATGGATGCTAGAGACGTCCTATAAGAAAATTTCCTTAAAATAGCACCCCGACTGTGTCCCAGTATAATGTTGTCGCGTTTATGTTATATCAGACGGAAGCAATACGTCATATTACTTTCGTTTTGTAATATCGGTACTTATCCTTGACGCATCACATCATGAATTACTTATATCACACGGAAGCAATATGTCATATTACTTTCTGTTTGGTAAACACAATAAGATAAACATAGTTATCAATCCTTGTCGAGCGACTTTAAACTGTTTATGAGTTAGTTTATTATCTATCACAAAGACGCAATAGACCAAAGTTCTTTAGACGAGGTTTACAAATATGATGAGATAAACGAACCTGACAGACACTCTCGAACGGCTATGTATTTTGAAATGACATGCTTTGAGACTACGTTCACAGATGAAGAACTCATCGCCCCAACCGAACCACCGAGCTGCATGTGTGACACGCAATAGCGCCATACACGTGGGAGGGTTTCATTGTCAAATTTGACACTTCAAGAGAGGGTTGAGAATGATTGCCGCGTGCTGGTTTATCCTATCCATGTTTTCTTTCCTATCGGTTCTTGCACAAGATTTACTGTTTAGCGTGTCTTTGCTTGACGTCAACGTCAAGAATTAGCCGTGGCACTGCAAGAGGAGTAGGTCGGATTGCCCCAAATCGTGATTGACGGTTGATTAGGAGTATGCCACGACGAATTGCTAAATGTCTGAGGATTGGTGGAGCAATTAATCATTGTTAAGACAAAGATAAAAAACGTCCATTTTCACTTTTGACAGTGTATCTCTTTGCAAGTGAAATGGGACCGTCAGATAAGCCACCCATATGAACTGTTTATATTCATGTGTAGGCACTAATAACAACAGCAGTGCATTTCCGCAGTTTTGTATTGTTTCTGAATATCCCTTACTTTTTTTGAAGAGTATAAAACGTGGATGCTTCGTTAAATGTATGCACCCAACCGCAATACAAATTTACAAACTGTATATGGCATATAGGATCCTTTTAGTATTCTCCGCACCGGGCTAATGAAGACGGACATACGCCATACAGTGTGCTGTGAGGGAAATTTTTGCCCGGGCAGCGGCGCAAAGACGACCTATTTTTATATCGAATTCCAACCGCCAAAGGATATTTTATGTGTACGCCATTGTGTATACGGGACCTCGGTTTGTTGTCCCATCCGAACGACTACGTGGTGTCCTACCCCACTCACAAGGTGGAACCACGCCGGGAAACCCTGATGAACTTTCTAGGCCAACGCAGAGATTGAACATGGGACCTCCAGGTTAGCGAGCCAACGTCGTACTTACTTGGCTACCGTGACTCCAAGGAGCCAGAAAGAAACCAGACCTCGGCCTTTCGTCCCATCTTATCGACAAGAGAACACTTGACTTGAAGCACCCCAGACCCAAAGTCCGACAAATAAAAACATGGACACACAGAGTACCCGCATATTAAAATAATTATTATTCTAATATTGATTTTGTTTTGTTTAAAAAGTGTCTTTTCCACCATATTTTGCAGTCCGTATTCAAAACAAGAAGTAGTGAAGAGGGCTCTATCCATGCTGGGTAAAGGTGGTTATGATCTGATAGTGAATAACTGTGAACATTTTACTAATTGGCGTAGATATGGAGTTATGAACAGTGAGCAGGTACATATAACATAATTTACCCCATTTATTAAGTTACCCATCAAACATTTATTATGTTACCCACCACTCAGCTAGAATGTATTAAATTACCCAGCTAGCATTTACTATTAAATTACCCAGGTAGAATTTATTAGGTTACCCATCTAACACGTATTAAGGTACCCACCTAGCATTTAATAAGTTACCCAGGTAGAATTTATTAGGTTACCCATCTAACACGTATTAAGGTACCCACCTAGCATTTAATAAGTTACCCAGGTAGAATTTATTAGGTTACCCATCTATCACGTATTAAGGTACCCATCTAGCATTTAATAAGTTACCCAGGTAGAATTTATTAGGTTACCCATCTAACACGTATTAAGGTACCCACCTAGCATTTAATAAGTTACCCAGGTAGAATTTATTAGGTTACCCATCTAACACGTATTAAGGTACCCACCTAGCATTTAATAAGTTACCCAGGTAGAATTTATTAGGTTACCCATCTAACACGTATTAAGGTACCCACCTAGCATTTAATAAGTTACCCAGGTAGAATTTATTAGGTTACCCATCTAACACGTATTAAGGTACCCATCAAACATTTATTAATTAAGGTACCCACCTAGCATTTATTAAGTTGCCCAGCTAGAATTTATAAAGTTAACCATCAAACATTTATTATGTTACCAATCAAACATTTATTAAGTTATCCAGCTAGAATTTATAAAGTTACACAGTTAGAATTTATAAAGTTACCTAGCTAGAATTAATTGAGTTACCCAACTAGCATTTACTTTTTGTCCATCATGTATGTTATGATTTTACCCCGTATAATACAGGTGTCCGTCAGGATAACTGGGACTTTTTCCATCGTTCCATGAAGTTCTGTACGACCATCGGGACAGAACATATAGATTGCCGATTTGCCGTGGCAACAGTTCAGATTTTGCTTTAAGCTTGAAGTAGGTAACATTGATATTATTGCAGACGCCTTGATTCACCATGTGGGACTATAGGTACTTTAAATAAATACCCTCGATAACTACATTTATAAAGCAGATGATAAATATGTACGACCATTTTCTTATGCTTTATTTTACTTTTATTTAATTTTGGTTAATAATGCGGAAATGGGTACGATCGTAGGGTCAACTATAGGTATCACAGGTGTCGCTGGTGGGATACTTGCCAAAGTATTGAATTGAAATCGGGTTTAACACCCTACCGATCTGCCCTGACTGGCCTAATGAAGACGGAAGTACCCATTGCAAGTGCACGACCAATTGTAAGTGTATAATTATTATGTATAAGTAGATATTTTATATTTCTAATCAAAATATTTTCACATTAAATTTGTATTTCCCTTATTTTTTTTTATTATGTTTTGTTTTAGTACGTAGAGCAAACTAACTGGGGTTTTATTTGTATATTAATGATTTACTGATTGGTGTTTTTCATAATGGCTTTTCAATATAAGATTTGCAGACAAGGGTTTTATTTGGTGTTCAGTCAAAAGATGTTGCTTATGAACTGTCGAAATTCCCTTTTAGTTGTTTGAGACAAACTTTTTATAGACGTCGTATTTTAATGATGAATAAGTACATGTCGGCTAATTTAATAGAACTTTTTAAAATAATTTTAAAATTAGCTTTAGAAGAAGTTCAAACATATATAAAACTATTATATAACTTCGGAGTTTGCTAACTGGAGGGGGGGGCACCCTACTTCTTGTCACGTACAACCAGGGATTTGAAACCACGCCAGTCGACTCAATGACAGGCCTTATGATACAGCGCGCACGTGCTAACCATTCGCTCCCTCGCCAATAAGTAGTAAGTTAAACCCCATTTCATTTCACGTAGAAACGATGACCTTTTTTTATTTATATGATATTAGTAAGCAATTCCTCACACAGCCTCCTCGAATGTAGATTTTACGTAATATATCCTTACTTATAACAGATAATAGTGTCCCACCCATATATTAAATATACTTATTAAGAATGAATATAATGTGCATATATTGGAATTTATCTTAGAAAGGATAGCAGTATCCTTACTTATAACAGATAAGTGTCCCCACCCATATATTAAATATCCTTATTAAGAATGAATATAATGTGCATATATTGTAATTTATACAACGTTGTCGTTTCTAGGAAATATGTCTATCTAGCAACAGTATATATTACAAATAACATTACAATTTTTTTTTCATGTATATTTCCGATGTTTACACAGTATTAAAGTCTTAACTAGATTCTCTCTGGTCAGGTTAATTATTAATATTTGTTGTATTTCGTTTCATTTCAAACCATTTTTATGCTCCGAAATTTCAGTTAGCCCCAACCAGAAGTACCATCCAAGAAAGACCATCAGCGCCACCAACACCAAAAAACAATGAAATCTCTTTTGTATATAAATCTAATGTATTGTATGTATTTTCAATAAAACTAGGAAACATCACGAACTAACTTTTCATCCTCCTAGGTCAGTGCTTATGTGGAGACTTAACCTCTCCCCCAAATTCTTAAACCTAACCTACCTTTATATGCTCCGAAATTTCAGTTAACCCCAGAGCTCAGGAAATGTAATTGCGCATAAAGCTTCCTATATTTGGTGTCGCGGCATTGTAAGATATCACAGCCCGAACCTTATGATATTTTTGCAAGGTGAATGATAAACATACAATAGAGAACACAAAACACCCAAGTAGTAATAAACAAGGAATCCAATCATGTCAACAGTTGTTGACCAACAGGGTGTTTAATAAAAATGGTGAATAAAAGGTGTAAGCGACACGATGAATTAATTATAAAACAGGCTCCATATGAACATAAGGAACCAAATAGATATGTAAATGCCTTTTCACTCGATACACATGCGCAAGGGGTCGGATATGGAGTCAAATCGCGACACTGGATGTGAGGCATTTTAGCCATGAGAGGACGAACCCTATCGATGTTCAGCGTTCCGCCACCTTTCTTACCAGAGTTACCCCCCTTCCCATTTGTTACAAAAAACCATGTGAACGCGATAGAGGCTATAGTACAAGGTAAATATTGCATAAACAAGTTGATTGTCTCTTCTCCCTCTCTCCATTAATACTTTCTCTCTATTCTCCCTTATATTTGTTCCTTTCTTCTCGTGCTTCCTTCTCTCGTTCCGTGATATCAATGGCAGCTATGTTCCGACAAGCTATGACCATTTGTACACCACTTATGACCATCTTAGCAATAGTTATTGGAGCAGCAACAAACAGAAGTAAAGTCCACAAACCAATGGAAAGATTTCCTACTGCCACTGTAACATAGTAATGAATGAATGAATGAAATGGTGTTTTATGACACGTCAGCTCAAAGCATGCTATATTGCACCAAACATATAATGGGGCTAAATCATATCACCAAAAATAATTATATGCATACTAAAACAAATATCACAGAGTATTTAAAAATAAAAACAAATATCACAAAATGAGAGAGAGAAATGTTAACACCCGGCACAAACTAGGTCATTTCGGGACTAACATATGGTTTAATTTTTTTTAAATAATTCGTTTGCGCGTAGGGGTCTTTAGCAGTAGGAGGAAACCGGAGAAAACCCACGAAGTTGGACAGGCGACCCTACTCCTGTCACGTACAACCGGGGAATCAAAACCCCGCCAGTTGACTCAATGAGAGACCGTATGATACAGCGCGCGCGTGCTAACGATTCGGCCATCCACCCCCGGCCATCCACCCCCCCCCCCCCAACACAAAATGAAATGCATAAAAATATTTAAAACTAGAAGAATGCCCGGCTTCGCTCGGGGGTCATAACCCCGAAACCGGAAGTGGTAGACTAACGCCATCTGGCCTATGTTACTCCCCGGTACGAGCTACCCCTATACCCCAAATTTCAGACTCGGAGCAGAGCTAGTGTAGCCGCCAACCCCGAACAGACAGACAAACGGTCACAAATATTAGTATAGATAGATGTGAAAATGAAATTGATTTTCTACTGCCATAATAATGTTTACACTTAAAATTAACAACAAAACGTCTAGCATTTTACAATATAGACTCGTTTAGTAAAATGTACTGGATATATAAATAATCACTTTGTACTTTAAACACGTGATACATGAGAGGTCCAATAAACATTTTGCATGCATATATTAAATAATAATAAGGGCCGAGAATCATGTTTTAGCACAAACAAGCCATAATATAACTGGGTCAATGAAGACCGAATCCGCCATGAGGGACAGTGGCGTTCACGCCTTACTTCATCCAATTCGAACTGCCAGTGGAACCTTTTACGTGTACGCCAACGTATGGCGTTTCTTTCTCCTAGCAATGTACTAGACTATTGTAAATATAGACTAAAAATTGTTCTTTAGGTCAAATTCCTGCACGAAGAGCCCAAAACCCGAACATGTCTTGGATTTTAGGTGACCCTACTCCTTGTCATGTTAAAGCGGGGAATCCAATCCACGCCACTTAACTCGATGACAGGCCTTACGATGCAACGGAGATGCGTTAACTATTGCCCTCCCCCCACCCGCACCCCACCATTCTAGCGAGAACTAATCTTAATCTAAATGTTATATAATGTATCTTTAAGTAATGAACACTGTGTCACCTGTTAACATAAGAACGGGCAGCCCACATCGATACGGACACGCTCGCATAATCCTTCTAGTTATCAGAATGTCAGACGTTTGTTATCTTGTATATTCCTGAAGCAATGACCCGAGAAATCCATTTCTGGCATTGCTGGATTGGCTGTTGATACTTGAGCTTTTGAGGGAGTGTGTCTATTCTTCCCGTTTAATCAAATCTATCCCAAGTACAGCAACATTACAGCCCTTCGTTTAATCTGGGGTCTTCACTCAAACAAAACACTGCGAGGAGTATGGTTATCTAGCGACTTTCCACTTTGTCAATAAACTAAGATGTATACCATTCGACCCTACTACCCCATTAAACATAGAAAAAATATGCAAAACTTACAAACTGGTCCGATGGTGAAATGCCGAAGGTAAAGTAAACAGTAAAATATTTCATTACCTAAACACATTACAGACAATACATGCTGAAATGTATAATTAACATTAGTAATTATATCCCAGACAATATTATATTGTAAAATATATAATTAACAATATTAACCACTTCAAAGACAATATTATATTCTGAAATATATAATTGTTAATTTAATTCTGAAATATCGGGTGACCTAGAAAAAACAAACCAAATACACTTCTAAGTCCGGTAAAAGATAAATTGACATTGTTTTTTGTTTTTTTTAAATTTGTACTATGTTAACACTATTTGGGATGAAGTTGTCAAACGTATAGATTGTAGCACGTGTCATTTGAAACGTTAATAATATAATCACAATAATTGTTTAATTATTATACTTTAAATGGTCTACTGGTTTTTGTTTTCCTGGTCACCCGATATATAATTGTTTTAAAGCTATTACCACGATAAATAAAACAAGTCCGGCGTGGTTCCTCCTTATCAGTGGTGCAGGACCGAGGGCCTTGCAAGGGACACTGTATAATCGTTCGGGCGGACGATGTCCGTGTAAAATTCCCCTCATGGCACCTTGTATGGCATATGCTCGTCTTCGTTAGTCTGAGCAGAACAGTGGGGCATTAAACTCCATTTCATTTCATTTCAATCGATCCAGTTGTAAATGGGATCCGGCAAGGTGGTTTACGTACTAAAACGGGTAAAGGGAGGTAATTACGCTTACAAAATATGGATGCAGACCTCCTATTGAATTAAATGTAACAGTTCCTTCAACCTTTCGTTGCACTCCACGATCTCCACCACATTAGTCTTGGGCCAAAGCTTGTTAAATGGAACGAAATGAAATTGGGTTTAACGTCCTACTGATATGCCCCGGTTGGGCTAATGAAGACTCTTATATCGAATTCCAGCTGCTAAGGGGCCTCGGTTTTTCGTTCCACCCGAACGACTAGACCGTTTTCCTTGTCATACCGTCCGTCCTGCACCAATGACAAGCGGAAGACATGTCGGAAACTCGCAATGGACTTTCTCGGCCAACGCAAGGATCGTACATGCAACCTCTAGGCTAGCGAGCCAGCTCTTACTAGTTTCCTGTGATAATGGCGACATCGCTTGCTAAATTATAATATTCGATTTTTGATCATCAAACATAACAAACTGGAAACAGGGGGGTTTATTCTGACATTTAAGAGATGCATTGTGTTAAGGTTTGTCACAAAAAGTTAACAAACGGATAATAAAAAGGACATACTGTACATTTCCGTCAAATTTACTTTTTTCTCAGCGAAGTTAAGAATGTTTGAAATTTTGACAAGATTTAGCCTAAATAGTATCGATTGTTCATTTAAAGGTTACCCAATTAAATGGCACATGTGGTCTAACCCATTTAATATCTAAGCCATCCGTTTAGAGAGTTGATTTTGGTCTTGTTAATAACTGTCTGAATAATAATTTATATAACAGAAAAAGACCCGCACTATGAAGATTTAGCTCTTACATAATGCATCTGTAAATTCGATATATTTAATAAATAATTTCACTAACTTCGTTTGTATAATAATGACGTACAATAAAATTTTCTGACAAATCGACGTGTTTATGATTCTCTTTGCCAATCATCAATGAACTGGAAAATAAATAAATTTATTATAACACAGGTCAAAGGTCACAGGTCACACGTCTATGGAATACAATTACTAGTGTTCATTACTGAGCGACTTTTCGACTCCAGTCTTTTGTTAAATGGAAATAAAATGAAATAAACTAGGGTTTAACGTCCTACTGTTCTGCAGACATAGGCTATGAAGACAAATGAAAATGAAATGAAATGGGGTTTAACGTCCTACTATTCTGCTCCGAACTGGGCTAATGAAGACGGGCATACGCCATACAGTGTGCTATGAGGGAAATTTTGCCCGGACAACGGCGCTACGTCGTATTTTTATTTCGAATTCTAGCTGTCAAGGTTTTTCGTCCCATTCGAACGACTAGACAGTTGTCCTTGCCAAGCCCTCCGTCATGAGCCATTGACCGGGGGAACCACGCAGGAAATCCCAATTAACGTTCTCAGTCAACACCAGGATCGAAAACCGGACCTCCGGAACAGCGAGTCAGCGTCTTACTCACTGAGCCACCACGACTCCTCGTTAGGCGCACCTAATGTTATATGATGACGACTGTTTTGTTTTTAATCATTGGTTATAAAACTAGGTCAGGCTGGATTGTTGTAAAGTTCTGTAGCGGTGAGCTACGCGTAGGGGGGTCTTTAACATTGAGAGGAAACCGGATGATGAGGAGAACACCCGCGGGGTTAGGCCACCTCGACAAGCCACTGATTCAAATATATTGTAATAATCAAATGTACCTGTGTAGATAAACCCAGTGACTGAAGATATCAAGTGCCATACTGAACTGGAAGAAGAGAATATAAGTTGGGTAGAAATGACACAGCACCGCACACATACACATCGTAATTATCCGATCAGTCAGCTGATCTAACAGTGCACCCAGTTTACTAGCTGAAATATTGACCATTACAAATATACATGCAGAGATGGCCACTTTAGTTTAATCATAAAACAGAATGACTCACAATCTGGTTAAAACACAGATCCTATTTCAATTCGTTTTTATAGTTCAAAATTTCGTTTTACTTGTCTTTACTACACTTGGATCTGGAAGACTTGTTATTTAATTCGTGTTCTGTTTAAAATGAGGGGCCAGCAAATCAAATGGTCTGTCGAATCGAGTGTTTGACCTTTTTTGCCCGGAACTGTTGGTAATCCAATAGTAACATCAATGCTGATTGGTTAATCAAATGTCTGACGTCATAGGTCAAAAGTCGGTCTTTTGATCCCTGACGTGACCTATCGCTATAACATTTCAGATCTTCATGTAGTGTAGGCCATCGAAAGTATAAAAAAACGAAACGAAATATAGATCTGTATTTCAATCAGATTGACCCGTCTCCCAGTCCTAATTCCAGTCAGCCGTGACCCGTACATTTCAGGTAAGTTCTTAAGGAACTTAGTGCTATATTGGTTCGAGCATTATCATGTTGGAATGACTTAAGATCGTGATACAACGCAAGGCCGTCTGGCACGCAGTCCAACATAACGTAGTCGGCGACTATAGTATCAGCAGTACGGAAAATCTACAGCATGCAATCCTACATAAGTTGCCGGATAACGTGCCTGCTGGGAACGATCGGCCAGTACATGTAGTATGATGGCATCCAACCCTTCGGTGGTTCACTCTAATCTCGTGTTCTCGGTGTTTAGGTGTCAACATTTTCATATCGTAACTATAAAAGCAACATTCATACCCTAATGCAAACATTCCCATTCTGACCGATTCAATATTTTGGGAGATATGATCTGTGATGTATTTGCGCAAACGTGTAAACATCATTCTAACGTGTTATTGACTTTAATGAAAAACGCACCACTGACTTTACCGGAAGTGCTGGCGAGTTATAATACTAGTGTCGGATTATGGCCCACTAGGGCACTATCCAGCAACTCCCCCTTCCCCTCTCTATAATAGGTTAAGTTGTTACTGATTTTTTTTTGATTTGTATACACACACATTGTTATCATCTGATTTCCGAATTACAAGATTAGAGTTTATTTCCCAAACGAGATTTTTAATCGTCAATTTATAAAAGTGACGTGTACTTGACTATAACATTGAAATATTGTTTTGAAAGCAAATTTAAAGATGCTTTATGTAAGATTTAGACAAAGATGTTGTCGTTCTTGCTATACTAGTTCAAAAATAGAGAATTCAAAAATAATATATTGAAAATTTCAGTCAAATTACTTTATTCGGACCGAAGTTATCACTATTTGAGGTTTTCTCCATTTTTAATTAGATCATTAAATGGTGATCGTATTTCAATCCGTTTTAATCTCTGCCATCCGATGCTCTAGAGAGTTGATTATAGGCTTGTTATGTGAATAAATGTATAAATAATAGATTATATAACATATGCAGCCCAAATTAAAACCTGAACTAGGCAGAATTGGCTCTTACATAATGCATCTTTAAGGAGATATATTCAAGGCCGATGCAGTATCCCATTTATTTACTTTGTTTATCAACTCTCTTATCGTTTTATTTGATATTGTACAAGCGGGGAGTGCAAATAATATAAAATTTACTTTGTTTATCAACTCTCTTATTGTTTTATATGATATTGTACAAGAGAGAGAGAGAAATGGGGTTTAACGTCCACCCGACACAAACTAGGTCATTTCGGGACTAATATATGGTTTAATTTTATTTCAATAATTCGCTTGCGCATAGGGGTCTTTAGCAGTGGGAGGAAACCGGAGGACCCGGAGAAAACCCACGAGGTTGGACAGGCGACCCTACTCCTTGTCACGTACAACCGGGGATTCGAAACCACGCCAGTCGACTCAATGACAGGCTTTATGATACAGCGCGCGCACGCTAACCATTCAGCCATCCAACCCCCCGATATTTACAAACGGGGAGTGCAAATGATAATAAAACAAAACAAAACAAAACAAAAAAAACCACAAAAAACATAAACTTTTTATTGTTTATTTCTTATCAAAATAACTGTGTGTGTTTGTGATAATTGTCTTGACACAAATTGATATGTATGTTGTTAATTTGTAACAAGACGTTTATTTTAGAATTTTAAAATATGCATCTATTTCGTCGCCTCAGGATATTTTTAATATTTCAACATGGGCGGGAAATCTTCCTTTGTTCTTTTCGTTGAATAAGCAGATAGTTTTTCCTCTAGTAGATGGGTGGGGCTTAACTGTGCAATAACTAGACATGTTCAATGTTATTGCACACTTTTGCTGGTTTACACTAGTTTTAGTAGAAATCATATAGAGAAGTGGGGTGGGTTTTCTGTGCAATAACAATAAGCATGTTGAGCAGTTGTCAATGTTACAAGTCAATTATAGCACGCTTCACTCGTTAACAGGTTTACCCCTCGGCCTTCGGCCTCTGGTTAAACCTGTTAACTCACGAAAGTCGTGCTATAAATATAACTTATAGGACACCCCCTTTAATGACTAGATGCAATAAAACTCTGATACTAGAGTTACCTTTCCACTTAATTTTATTTATTTTATTCATTGTATTTTAATTAATTTATTCATTTTATGCATTTTATTTATTTATCTATTTATTTATTATTACCGATGGACTTAATTTTATTTATGTATTTATTTATTCATCGAACAGAACATCGATGCAGATTAAATAGTTTTCATGACTGCTTGTTTAGCGCAGCAACAGAAAGATAAGGTCATAAAAGAGCAAAGGTTTATATTTACCCTTAAAGGGGAAGAACAACGATTTTCAACAAGGTTTCCATAAATCTTAAATCATAATAAACAATTAACCATGTTGCTTGATTTGGAACACAGCGTACTGTTCAGTATGAGTGAATTTACGCGACGGCTTTGTGTACTAAACGTTAAAAAAACCCCATAAATTCGTGTTTATAATATCCTAATAAACAGACCATTTGATTAGATTTTTGGCCAAAGCACGACAGCAGTAAACATATGCCAAATATGTATGCTTACTATAGAGCCCATTGATCATGTTGAGCCAACTATGTCACTTCCTGTTTTAATAAAAATTAATTTCTCGCTTACAAAAACTTTTTTGCTTGTACTACAGAGTGGATTATTTATCAATATATATTTAAGGTTCATGGAAACCTTGTTGAAAATCGTTGGTCTTCCCCTTTAAGACTAATATTTCAACTTGAGTAAAATATCCCTCGGCAGAGGTACTTATAACAACGAACATACACATCTGTCATGATTCGGCTTTCGAACTATTTCAGCCTTTTCGGCGTGAAATGAAATAGGATATAAAGTAGGACTTTTCTGCATCAACCGGGATAATGGAGACGGGTATACCCCACATTGTGTCGGGACAACCCTAACCCTAACCCTAGTCAAGGGTTCTGATACGTGCATGCCCACGTGTACACGGTACCCCGGTTTCTCCTCACATCCGAACGACTAGCAATCAGATTAAAACGCAGATCCTATTTCGTTTCGTTTTGATAGTTTGAAATTTCGTTTTACTTATCTTTACTACACTAGGATATGGAAGAGTTGTTATCTTTGACGTGTTCTGAATGTAGTGCGGGCTTAGCCAATGAAATGGCCTGTACGACGAGCTTTAGACGTGTTTTTGCACGGAACTATGGGTAATGCACTAGTAACATCAATGCTGATTGGTTAATCAACTGCCTGACGTCATAGGGTCAAAAGCCGCTCGTATGACCTTTTACGTGACCTATCGCTACAACCAGTCATGTAGTGTAGGCCATCGAAAGTATAAAAAAACGAAACCAAATATAGATCTGTATTTTAATCAGATTGAACGACTAGACGTTGTATCTTGCCAGCTCCGCCCCCACACCATGTGGCACTGATTAGGAGAAAACCACGATGGAAACCCTTAAAGTTACAAGTTATATTTTTAAAATGTATTAAAATAAAGCCCTGAAATAGTTGGTATCTATAAACAGTCCTACCTTGTTAAAGAATAATCCTATTAATCCTATAATTCACTATTGAGAAACTGGCAAAAATATCATTCTCAACTTCAGATTCAAACGTTTGAAGATAGCGATTCCATGGTGGGGAATAGGAAAACAAGGGAGGTAATTGGGAGGTAATTGTGTTATTATTTCCGATGTGAAGATTTTTAAGTGTGAGAAAGATAACCTATGATCATATAATAGTAAGTTGACAACCTACTGAGCAAAAGACATAGAAATAATTATGTTTTGACTTTCTCAGAAAATATGAAATTGTAACTTTAAACTGGTGATTGTGCCCGACATACTTGACATACTTACTTTGTTTTAAAAGTCTAGCAAGGCGGCCATCGAATTCATCTAGAAAACCACTTAATAAATATAAACACGCTGCTTTATAATGGTCTGTAGGCATATAGTAGAAAGACATGAACGCAAAGATCACTCGACAATAGTCTGAAATAAAGATGAAATAAAGGTTTAATCTACTGTTTTGCGAAGACCAATCTGATTACAATACAGATCTATATTTCGTTTCGTTTTTTTATACTTTCAATGGCCTACACTACCTGAAGATCTGACAAGTTATAGTGGGGGCGGGGGAGGCACGTCAGGGGTTAAACGAGCGGCTTTTGACCCAATGAAGTCAGACATTGATTAAGCAATCGGCGTTGACGCTTCTAGTGGTTTACCCACCGTTCCGTGCATAAAAAGGCCATAACTCGCCGTAACAGACCGTTTCTTTGGCTAATTCCTCATATCAAATACAACGCCTGTTACATAACAACTCTTCAAGATCCTAGTGTAGTAAAGACAAGTAAAACAAAATTTTGAACTATAAAAACGAAACGAAATAGGATCTGCGTTTTAATCAGATTGTGCTCAGACTGGATTAATGAAGATGGGCACACCCCATACAGTGTGCTGTGAGGGAAATTTCTCCCGGACAGCGGCGCCACGGCCTACTCTTATATCGAATTTCAACTGCCAAAGTTTCTCTTCAGAAATGGAATGGGGATTAACGTCCTACCTTTCTGCTCCGAATTGGGCTAATGAAGATGAGGTTCTTTTACGTGGACACCAATGCGTACACAGGACTTCGGTTTGTCGTTCCAACCGAATCACTATTAACATAAGGGTAAATACTACATTTAAAGATGCCTTTTATGAAAAAGCCTAATCACCCCATTGTTATATAAACTATTATTTCGACATTTCCTCACATGATAAGCATAAAGCATCGGGTGACCGTGATTATGAATAGATGCAAACAATTTAACTTAGAATAGATAATCTAGACTTTGTTTATTATCGTAGTAATAGTACTGGACAATCGGGACTATATTGCCAAATTATCTCTGGCATAATGTCCCAGTAAACCTAATTTCACAGCATCCAGTAAATACAGAATAAAGCTGCCACAATAGTGTCCGAAACCACGCGATAGGCGCTAAGATTTTTTTGACTTATCTATGTTAAACATGATCAGATTAAGAGAAGGAGAAAAAAGATGGGGTTTAACGTCCACTGGACACAAACTTGGTCATTCCGGGACTAAAATATGGTTTAATTTTATTTCAATAATTCGCTTGCGCGTAGGGGTCTTTAGCAGTGGGAGGAAACCGGAGGACCCGGAGAAAACCCACGAGGTTGATCAGATTAAGACTTTGATATATCCGACACTTTGTCTTAAAGAATTTCCCATTCGCTACAATATGCCATTATGCATGCTAAGGAATCTCAAAACGATAAGCTCTTAATTCTTGGACATCAAAGGACGTCATCCTGTGGCCTATGTTTGGCCTATTCTGAAGAATAAACGACCGACATAAATATCGAATAACGACACTTCTAGCTTTAAACAGAATCCCGAACACCGACATTTACATTCAGCGCTTTAAATGTGGTTTTACAGTTGCTATATTTTCAATTTCTATTTCGATGTAATTTCCATCTTCGGTCAAAGCTGTCTTTATTTGGTATACCTTCGGTTATGGATTAAACAGCCCCGCTCCCTCCCATCGGCAGTCGCCCCATGATTAAGAGTTTTCACAGTTGTTAGGTTTTTAATACAGTTCAGTCGCATCAATAAACCCCATAAATCTATTTATTTGTTTGATACTGGTATACCTCCTGCTTGTTAAATGAAATCGTTATGGATTTAAACACCACCCCCCCATCCCCCGCTGCCACATCTGCCGCCGCCCACGACCTTGTTGCAAGTTTATTTATTATTCACCCGATCGGCATGGACCGACCTTGATCTTATTTTTCATATCTCTAATATTTATGGCACATTACAAAGTATAATTCCCTGATAGTATGTTTATTATAGTTCCAGTTGAGTTAATCGAAATGGGACTGGGGGTGGGGGATGAATGGCCGAATGGTTAACACGTGCCCGCTGTATTATAAGGTCTGTGTTTCAGTCAACTGGCTTAGTTTCGAATCCCCGGTTGTACGTGACAAGAGTAGGGTCGCCTGTCCAACCTCGTAGGTTTTTCTCCGGGTTCTCCGGTTTCCTCCCACTGCTAAAGACCTTTACGTGCAAGCGAATTATTGAAATAAAATTAAACCATACGTTGGTCCCGAAGTGAACTAGTTTGTGTGGAGTGGACGTTAAACCCCATTTCTCTCTCTCTCTCTGTCTCTCTATCTCTTTAATCGAAGTGGCGCTGGGTTATCGTATAAAATTGTCAAATAAAATCGTATTTAACTACCATGTTAACCCATCATTGCGGATGATAAAGGAGCTAATTCGCTAATAATGTAATCTGATTGTTAATAAACTGATTTACATTCAATTGTTTCCGTTTTGACTCTAATTTCAAATCAGTTATGTTCAACGAAATACGGCATGAGTCTCAACCGAATGGCAATTTCTAGCGTATGGTTATTCCAGTCTATTACGCATGCTCTCCTGATAAGATATGGCGTCACCGTTTGACATGAGTTGTGGAATATGTCTAGCCAATAGAAATATTTCTATGGTCTAGCCTCGTTCCTTCTGGTCACTTGTTACAAATGACGCTGAAACGCACTATGGTACACGATTCGTGTATCAATGGTAAAATGTTTATTTTGTCTTAAATATTCGATATCAGAAGCCTACCTTTGCCCGGTAAGATCACAACATCAATGTTGATTTGAATTGACAAAAAATTCGTGCCATTCGTGTATTTCGCCGAACATAACTGATGAGAAATTAAAGTAAAAACAGAAACGATTGAGTTTAAATCAGTTGATATACATTTATATTACATTATTATATGCGATGCTACTCATTTGTGTCGATTTTTGGGGGTCAAAGAATATCGATTAAGCTCCTTTAAACATACATTATGCAAGAGCTTAATCTGTCTATTGCAGTTCTTTCTTTAAGCCTGAAAGGTTATCTAAATTATTAATTAGACATTAATTAACCTATCCAGACCATAATCCAGACCATAGATGACATCGCTAGAAGGCGAACTTTAGTGGATTATGAGCCGATTTACAGCACAACTTTCCTTCACGATTTAACGATCACATGGATAATCGAAACTATGCTGTTTATCGTACTGACTTTAGTAATATTGATCGCGGCTAGGCGGAAGTTTCAATCGCTACCTCTCGGTTCATAGTGGATCAATTTGAATGAAATTTTCAGCAAATTGCCTGTACATTATCTAGTTTTCAACTATTATAGTGAGAACTGCCAACTCTTGATTTTATCTCCCATAATGTATCTTTAAATAAAACTATTTTATACACACATTAATCCACCATGTGTTACAATGGAGTCCCCCATAAAAAGATTACAAGTTTGTTATCTGTTTGACAAACTATGGTATAAATATTTGTCTACATTTTAAATATCTACTGTCAAACTAATCTATTATTTCCATGGCATTCCTTTCGTTTAATATGCTCTGAATTCCATTTTTACCACCAACCTCGTGGGTTTTCTCCGGGTCCTCCGGTTTCCTCCCTCTGTTAAAGACCCCTACGCGCAAGCGAATTATTGAAATAAAATTGAACCATGTGTTGGTCCCGAAATGATCTAGTTTGTATCGAGTGGACGTTAAACCGCACCCCCTCTCAACCTCTCTTTCTCTCTCTCTCTCTCGATCGACGTGGGAGGAAACCGGAGAAACCACGATGTTGCACAGGCAACACTACTCCCTGTCACGTACAACTAACCGCGCGAACACAATCGAACGAAAACGAGAGCAGAGTAATATCATTAACTCAGTATTTGCGAGGAGGCTAAGTGTGTAGGAAACCACCCTAGTGTCTTGATATTTAAGTCTAAATAATAAAGAGATCTTGAAATGAAATGGGGTTTAACGTCCTACTGTTCTGCTCCGAACTGGGCTAATGAAGACGGGCATAAGCCTTACAGTGTGCTATGAGGGAAATGTTGCCAGGACTGTGTCACTAGGGCCTACTCTTATTTCGAATTCCAACTGTCAAAGGTTGTTTTACGTGCACGCCAATGTTTACCAGGTCACCCGCCCTGCACCACAAACAAGGGCGAACCACGCCGGAAAATCTCGATGAATTTTCTTGGTCAACACCGGGATCGAATACGGGACCTCCGGGTTTGTAATATACATGTAGTGTCCAGATAATCAAGACTACGTGTATCTTGACTATATAAGATTTAAGGGTTTGGGTAATCGGGATGGTATACAACGACTCGACACCTGAGGTGGCACGGGTGGATGCACCTGGGTGAATAAAAAATATATTCAACGCACATGGTTGTTGGTTGGTCATTTTTAGAATGATAGATATATATTACAGGGTTAGCGAGCCAACGTCTTACTCACTGAGCCACGCGGCTCCCCATGCAAACATTAAAAAAAATCTGTAAAGTAATAAGTTACTGCGGCCATCATTCGTTACATCGTTAGAAAATTTCAAGCTTCTACGACCATTAATATTTTCTTATTTTTCCACCCTCAGAAAACGTCATCAAAATATTCCTACAGTTGTCTATCATACATAATAATGAATGGAAAAAAATGGACCACGGTACAAGCATCATTTATAATATCAGTTTATATGAAATGAAAAATATATAATTAATTTTCTTACCAATAATGTTAGGTACAAACAGAAATATGTTATCTGTCATTTTGACAGCTTCTTTTACGCTCTGTTGTTATCGGGCGTTTATAGAAGCCCGACCTTATTATCCCCGTAATACGCATGCTCGGCGTCGTGGCTTATAAACGCGTTAGACCATTCGTTAACCCAGCCACCCGAGACTAACGGGTATCTTTCCTTCGGTTTGGTTGCACGAGAAAGTTCATCAGGATTTACGGACCTGGTTTCCCCTTGTCAGTGGTGTTGGACGGAGGGAAAGACAAAGGACAACGTTCGGACGGGGCGAAAAACCCAAGTCGTGTACGTAAAAAATCCCCTTGAAGTTGGAATTTGATGTAAGAGTAGGTTGTAGCACCGTTTTCCGGGCAACATTTCCCCTCCTAAGGCCTATGGCGTACGTCTTTCTTACTCATTTAACCACTACGGATCCCTGAATGCCTTTAAAATATAACCGGCAGTTCAATGGAAATGGATGGGATCCTTGACCCGGCAAGGTACAGCGTATCTTATAGTCGTTTGGACGAAAAACCGAGGTCCCGTGTACACATTTGTGTGCAGGTAAAAGAACCCTTGACAATTGGAATTCGAAATTAGAAATTAGAGTAGACCGTAGTGCCGCTGTTCGACCAGAATTTCCGTCATATCACACTGTATGGCGTATACCTGTCTTTGGGGCCGAACACTAGGTCGTTAAATAGAGAATCAATAAAGGCGAGTAGGAGATTTTATTTATCACCCAACCCTTTCGCTTTTTTACGCGCATAAAAAAATAAATACAATTCTTTGGTATAGATTTAATATTACTGAACCTGATTACATTACGGCGTAGTGATACATCATTTTTCGACAACAAGTCCTATATATTGACCCGATGTTTCCTTTAGGGTTATGGATAGTATTGTAATTATTTATGGTAATTGAGAACTTTTCTCCAACAATATTACTGGATCCAAAACGTAGTTCCTTTCCAATAATCAAAACAGTAGTTCCTTTTTAATTTACCAATCAAATTCATGTAGAGCGGTATCTCCTAAGAACGTTATCACACAAGGGATATCTACTGTTGAATGTGTTATTGGGTGATAAACTCCAATATGTGATACACAATAATATAAATCTCGGTAATTCCCTGCTGCACTTGTTTTAATGGATAAGCAATTGAGCGTATTGATTCGTGTTGCCGTGTAAAGAAAGGGTTGCCTCCCTTTAATAAAAGTTCCCGTTAGTTATAATTAAAGAAGAGGTTCCAGATTTCAGGGTATGTAATTTGTAGAAAAAAAACATTAGGATTATTCGAATCGCTTATTTCAGACTGAACTGCCGAGTTAATTTTCCATAATGCAGTTGCACCACCCGAGAAGCAATGCGCGAGCGGTCACCCCCATTGTTTTATCGACATTCTGTTGTACTGTTCACTGACGGTGTTCAACCACTGCCTTGGCAGAGGGGCGGGATGCTGGATTTAACATAGTTATGTACCGCCCTCTGATGTGTTCCCATCGTAGTTTAGTTTCTGTTTGATTTATATTCCTGTGTATGTATGTTTCGGTTCCCCGATGTAAATAAATATTTACTAAACTGGTCTACTGTTATGAGGTTTAACGTCCTACTGCTCTGCTCGGACTGGGCTAATGAAGATGGGCATCCAGTCAAATACAAATACAGAAATGAAATGAAATGGAATTGAAACAAGCCAACAGTGAGGCTGATGTCCCCCGCCGAAATCCCCAAATAAATAGATGACACATATTAATTAATCGCACATCTATTTTTTTTCAAAAGTATCCAGCAATCAACTGATTATAAACTATACACTAAGTTTCATCACTCTCTATCAGATAGAATCAAAGTTATCTTGTTCCAAAGCATCGACCAAGGAAATTGCTTATCTCTTCTTATCTCGATATGTTAATCATTGAACTAAGTCAAGATGAACATTTACATCAAGTTTTAACATTCTACCTCAATTAGAAGAAGAGTTGTTATGTTCCAAAGTCTTAACCAATCAAAATGCTTATTGCTCCTTAGCCTAAGCTGAAAATTCTCATCATCGAACTTAGTCAGGGTATTGAGGTAATGAAACTATACACCAAGTTTCATCACTCTCACTTAATTAGAACTAAAGTTATCGTGTCCCAAAGTATCAACCAATCAAATTGCTTATCTCTGCTTACCCTAAGCAGAAAATGCTCATCTTCACACCCCATCAAGGCATTGACCTGATAAACACCTACACCAAGTTTGAACATTCTAGCTCAAATAGAATGAGAGTTATTGTGTTCCAAAGTCTCGTCCAATCAAATTGCTTATCGCTCTGCTTACTCTGAGCAGAAAATGCTCATTGTCGAACTTAGTCAAGGTATTGATGTAATGAAACTATACACCAAGTTTCATCACTCTCACGTAATTAGGACTAAAGGTATCGTGTCCCATAGCATCAACCAATCAAATTGCTTATCTCGGCTTACCCTAAGCCGAAAATGCTCATCTTCGAACTCCATCAAGGCATTGACCTAATTAACACCTACACCAAGTTTGAACATTCTAGGTCAATTAGAAGGAGAGTTATTGTGTCCCAAAAAGTGTGACAGACAGACGGACAGACAGACAGACGGACGAACCCATTTTAATAGTCCCCTGCTTTCTTCGAAAGGCGGGGGACAATTAACTGAAATGAAATACGGTTTAACGTCCTACTGTTCTACTCGGACTGGGCTAATGAAGACGGGCATACAGGGTATAAAATACAACATGGTGATTCATTTGTTTCGTTCTGTCCCAAGATAGTTGTCTACTCTGTCATCTATTACCCTTGACAACTTCTAAAAGCTCCCATTATTATATATTATAATGGCGTCTTAATAATTATCGATTCTTCACTCAATAATGGAAAACTTTTATGACGATATGGAAAATGTTTCCAAGAAATTCAATTACTTTCAAATTTCTATCAATTTTCATAAAGCCAAATGTTTCTTTTCATCCAATATTGTCTTATTATTACTATATCGAACAGAGCAGTGAAGTTTTTTGATGTGATTTGGATGAACGGCTTCAAATTAATTTTGACAAGTTTTCAACGTTCTATTTCCGTAGCCTATATTTATTTTTGCTTAAACAGACGGGAGGTGGATGGCCGAATGGTTAGCGTGTGCGCGCTCTATCATAAGTTCTGTCATTGAGTTTTAGTTACCCGGCATCTCCACCATTTGTAAAAGTAAAAGTATTTTCATATCAACATTGGAGCTTATTTGCTATTAAGAATTGAATCAATCTGTGTTACATTAATTGTCTGCTGTAATTTATGTTGATTAATTGTTAACCAAAGGAATGTAGTAATATTAACAATCAACAAGATTCCTGTCTTCATTTATTCAACCATGAGAATTCTAGAACATACACAAGGATTCCACTTGAACACTATTTTGATTTTCCTCTTCTTAATTAAATGTTAACGGAGCTAAATCGCTAATATTTGCGACCTAGAAATTGGCACAAATGGGTCGCAACGCATATAATAATGTAATATGAATGTATATAAACTGATTTACATCCAATCGTTTCCGTGTTTGCTCTAATGTTTTTCAAATCAGTTATGTTCGGCGAAATACGACAAGTCTCAATCAAATGGGAATCTCTGGCGTCTAATATTTCAGTCTACACCAAAAGTATTCATTGTGCATGCTCTCCAGCTAAGAATATGCCGTCTTCGAAGAAATTATTAGTGAGAAGAAATTCGCCCGTGTATCTGTTATGACTCGTCAATTCAGTCAGTTATATAGAAGGATAACTCGTGTTTTCCTTTTGCGTTCGTCTCTTCCGTTTGTTGAACCCTTCATTACTCATCTATCGTAGCAATGATCTCCTTGTTAAAATTATATACTGAGCACCATGGAAAACGCATCACTTAGTTTTTCGCATAACAAAATGATCCTGTAAACATATCTTATTTATTTTGCTTCTTATTGTGAACAATATTCAAATGGGAACACATCAATAACAACACATTTGTACACTTATGGATGTTTAATCTGTAATCAAGGGTACAAAGTCAGAGGGGTCAAAACCAAAAGTACGACACAGATGTTAGTAGCGAGTGTGTCCTCCACGGGCCATCATCACGGTAGGCTACAGCATTAACGCGACCCCTGCAAATGTGCAGGGCGGTCCGGTGATGAAATGTGAAGCCTCCCCACACCATTACACTTCCCCCACCCCATCGATTCGTTTCGAAGACGCAGCAGTCTGCAAGACGTTCCCCAAGACGTCTCCACATACGTTGACGGCCATCAGCGTGATAAAGATGAAAGCGACTCTCATCACTGACGAGTACACTTTGCCAGCCTACTCTTCGCTATGTCTGGTGTCCTTGAGCCCATATCAAACGCCGCTGACGGATGATGATCCCTGAGGATAGCTCCAACATAAGGTCGTCGTGCACGAAGTCCTACCTACTTCTCTTAGACGACGTCTTACGGCGTTGGCACTTACTGGTCCTTGTCTTCCGACGACTGCTGCACCTGTTCGAGTCGCTGGGCGGAATCTGTCACGTAGATGAGTGACCCGGATGTAGCGGTCTTGAGCCTGGGTTGTAACGCGTTGTGGACCAGGACGTTGACGGACGTGTTGATCCAGTAACTCGAACACGTTCCACCAACCTTACAATAGTGGACTGATGACAATTGAAGTGTCTGGCAATAGCACGTGTAGACGTGCCAGCCCTGGACATTCCCATGGCTTCATTCCTTTGATTTTCAGTAAGTCTCGGCATCTCTAGCTCGATTCCTCCACACGTCCAACAACAAATTACGACAGATTGACGATTCACAGTTCATGTACTGCACATTAAGTTGAAAACATGCTTTTAAAGGGCTCACACACAATGCTGCACGTGAATATTGGGTTTTTAGTGTGCATCTCGTGCAATTTTTTTTGTGCACACGGGCCGATATTTTTTGGGTTTGGGAGCATTGTGTGAAACAATAGTTCATAGTATTGCATAATATTATACATACAAAACCACCTAAT